CCCTGTTTAGGATTGTCTTCTTTAAGTAGTTGTGTATAAATTAAACCATTAACCATAAATTATAAACCTTAAATCCTAAACTATAAACTCTAAATCATAAACCCTAAAACCTAAAACCTAAACTATAAATCATAAACCCTAAAACCTAAACCATAAATCCTATCACATAATTATAAGGGATGAGATGTCTTAGTTGTATTATAGAATTTTTAATATGTTTTTAAAATTTTATAATTATCAATAATATATTTTTAATAATGTAATTTTAAAAAATCTAAAATTATAATATAACATTTTTTCGAGCTGTTCATAAGCTTTTCGAGTCGAATATCGAGTAGCTCATTTCGGCTCGTTAAGAAATCGAGTCGAGTCCATTCGATTATAGTATTTATCGAGCCTTGATCGAATCGATCTCGAGTAGCTCACGATCATTTACCGCCTAATTTCGACCTTAAAGCTCCAAGAGCAAGTTCTTGGATTAAAGATAATTAACCCAGAAAGAACACCGCTGATGTTCTTCTCCTGGTTGACAGGCATAAACCGGGTGCCTTTGGTGAAAGAGTTAGCCCCTGCAGAAGAAAAGACACTAGCACTTGTCCAATTTGTCAGAGACATGGCCCTTAAATCTTCTTCGGTTTGAATTCGGATGTCAGAATGGATACTACACAGTGAATCCACCATTGTCTGTCTATGTTATTAAGGGTGCGTTTGGTTCACAGAATATAAGATTATCGGTGAGAATGTAAGATTACCAGTAGGAATAAAAGATTATCAGAGAATAGGATTACTAGGAATATTATATTTTGTTTTTGGTTGGTTTAGCAGGAATGTAAGATTACCGTATTTGGTTAAAAGAATAAAAGATTATTGGAATATATATTTGACCAAATTGTTCTTATTATATATTTGTATAATATTACAAGGTGTAAAATATTTATATATTTTCTTTAAAAAATTAAATTCATAATATTTATATAATTTTTTTACAAAATTAAAAATATAAAAAAGGTTTAATAAAATGGTAAAATTTTATTTTAACCCCTAAACTTCATATAAAATTTTAATTATAGATTTTTTTTTTGTAAATCTAAAATAATTTAAGGATAAATTTATAATTTAATCTTCGTAGAATTTTTATTATTCAATGAGAGAAGAATGATATTTTTGGGAAAAAAATTTAAGGACATTTTAGTCCAAAACGCCGGTAATGTTACAATACCTAAGGGAATGGTAATGAAATTTCCAGTAATATACCCCAAAAAATTCACTATTGGTAATAAAACATTACCGTGAATGATATTCCCGGTCAAACCAAACGGGAGAATGTGGATTTCATTCACGGGGGAATCCCACATCCCCCCATCCAAACGCCCCCTAAGGGGCTGTTTGTTTGCCTTTTAATGAAACTATTCAGCGCTGAATGTTGAACCGTTCAACATTCAGCGCGTTTGTTTTGTACCTCTGAATGATTCAGTGCTGACTGATTCAACAAAACAATGCTGAATGATTCAACACAGAAGTACATTCTGAATAATTCAGAACCAGTAAACAAATAACATGCCACATTCAGAGCTAATTCATCAAGAGCCTCTGAATCATTCAACATTTGAATCATTCACCGCTTAATCATTTTAAAGTAAACAAGCATCCCCTAAATGTCGGTTATGGGCATGTTTCCAACATATATAGGTCCCATTTTTTTTAAAGATTTCATGCATTTTGAGGGTCTTTGGAGGGTCATATATCTTGAAGGGTAGAACTGGTTACAATGTAACCGTTCACATCAATATATATATATATATATATATATATGTCTATATATTGCATCAAAGAACTCATCTAAAATTTGATGATTTTCATGCAAAATAAATAAATAAATAAATAAAAGTGTTAATTTAAAATAAAAATATTTAAATTATTAAAAAATATAAAAGCTGAAAATGTGTGGAAATATTAAAAATTAGATGTTGGAGAGTTAAGATAGAAAAAAATAAAAGATTAAAATAGTTTTCTTTAAGGTGTCATCAGATCAACGGTGAAGGTACTAAACTGTTGAAATGAAAGTACTTTTGGACATAGATTCATGTTTTGAATCGAAGTACCATTTTAAATAGAGAAAATAACCTCAGTGACCAAAAATCTTAGATAATATACGATTTTGACCAACTTTTTTTGGATTTGCGAAAATGACCAACAAAATCGCAATGCGATCTCTAATTCGCATTGCGATCTCCACTATCGCAAATTCACGTTGCATTTCGCATTGCGATAGTTGAAAATCGCGTTGCGTTTTTCCATTTCGCGTTTCGATAGTTGGAGATCGCGTTGCGATAGTTGAAATCGCAACGTGATCTCCACCATCGCAAATTCGCGTTGCGATAGTTGAAAATCGCTTTGCGATTTTCCATTTCGCGTTGCGATAGTCTATAGTTGTCGTTGCAATTTTCCAAATTCGTTGAAAAAAAAGATTTTGTTTCTTAAGAATTTTCTCTAAAAAGATAGTATACGCGCGGACGTGTCGAAGACACGTATTACCATTACCATTACCATTACCATTACCATTACCACGACCACGACCACGACCACGACCACGACCACGACCACGACCACGACCCGAGACGAGACGAGACGGCGGCGGCGGTGCGCGAGAGTCCCCCTTGTTCTCTATCACTCAACAAGGAAGTGGGAAAGCCAAGCCTTAAATACCATTCCCAATAGTGTTTCCAATACAATGTGGGATTGAGCATTACCAACACTTGTTTCCAATACAATGTGATTATTCAGGAAACAATTAACAATCATGCACCTTAAAACAACTGAATCAACAACCAATTACATTAGTATTATACGATTAAATATGTCATAATTAAAAGTCAATCTACAATCAATCGCGATTATTGTAATTTTAAGCAAAACATTCAAAAATAATATCACTATTTAAGGCTCAATCTCACATAGTATTGAGAACAAGTGTTGGTAATGCTCAAATCCCACATAGTATTGGAAACACTATTGAGAATGGTATTTAAGGCTTGGCTTTCCCACTTCCTTGTTGAGTGATAGAGAACAAGGGGGACTCTCGCGCGCCGCCGCCGCCGTCCGTCTCGTCTCGGGTCGGGTCGGGTCGGGTCGTGGTCGTGGTCGTGGTCGTGGTCGTGGTCATACGTGTCTTCGACACGTCCGCGCGGATACTATCTTTTTAGAGAAAATTCTTAAGAAACAAAATCTTTTTTTTTAACTATCACAACGAATTTGGAAAATCGCAACGACAACTGTAGACTATCGCAACGCGAAATGGAAAATCGCAACGCGAATTTCAACTATCGCAACGCGAAATGGAAAATCGCAACGCGACTGTAGACTATCGCAACGCGAAATGGAAAATCGCAACGCGAAATGGAAAATCGCAACGCGATTTTCAACTATCGCAACGCGAAATGGAAAATCGCAACGCGATTTTCAACTATCGCAACGCGAAATGGAAAATCGCAACGCGATTTTCAACTATCGCAACGCGAAATGGAAAATCGCAACTCGATTTTCAACTATCACAACGCGAAATGCAACGCGAATTTGCGATAGTTGAGATCGCAATGCAAATTAGAGATCGCATTGCGATTTTGTTGGTCATTTTCGCAAATCCAAAAAAAGTTGGTCAAAATCGTATATTATCTAGGATTTTTGGTCACTGAGGTTATTTTCTCTTTTAAATATTTTAAATACTTTAAAAGAGCCCCAAAACTTTGAAAACTCTTATTTCAACCCCTAAAACCATGTCGGACGTCACCTTTTGCCATCGATGAAGCTCCACCCGACCTCACCTCCACCTGACAATCGACAACTCTATGAAATCACGACCAATCGATAACCAATCGACGTTTGGACCTCGACGAACCCTACACAACAAATCGTGCCCACATACGATCTTGACGGTCAATCGGTGACAAGTATGCAGCGTATAATTAGAAAGATGGCAAGGACTAATTCGACAAGTTAGGGATTTAAGATTCTTAGGGATTTGAGGTTTTTGTAATTTAAGAGAAATTAGGATTTTTTTAATAAATATAATAATTTTTTATTTTATTTTATTTTTCAAAATTACCAGAGTGTGACACATATCACTTAACGTGGAAATTTAACGGTAGTTACGGTCCAGGCACCTAAAGTGGTAACATTTGTAACGTTAGGAACTTGGATGTTTCAAAAAAAAGTTTGGGCACCTATTTGAGAAAATAATATAGTTTGAACACTTATTTTATACTTAAGCCTTCTTTTTAGTATGATTAAATTTTCCGTCAAACGTTTATTCTTTCAATTTAAACTTGACGAGTTTTGACAATCGCAACAATCGTCGGTTAATTTGAATGATAGGAAAATTCATTTGGCTAAAAATTAACATAAGTCGATTTTAAATTGATTTTATGATAAAATTTAACCAAAAGAAAGAAAGAGAAGAAGAGTAGTTTTGTAATTTTTTCAATCAGAAAAACAATCGAATGACAACCGAAGTAACAACAAAAGGGGTAGTGACGTTTACCATTGGAAAGAAGAGAAGTTAAGACTTTTTTTTTTAAAGATTTTTAACGTGTTACGTCAGCTTTTCTTAACGACAACAACTAGCGATAATGATCATAAGTAGCATGAATTTAAAGTTTAATGATTGTAATGCAAATTTTAAAAGTCCAATGACCAAAGTGGAAGTGCTAATAAATTATGTGACCATCAATGTAGTTTACCTTTAAGTTTTTAATCCAATATGAAAATCAAATTTGGAAATGAAATTTGAATTTCTGAAAGTAAATATTGGGAGCAAGAATAATTTATTGTATTTCTAGATATTTATTTTATGGACTAAAATGAATATTTGAATAATTTAGGGAGGCCAAACACAGTTTACCCTTAGATTCTCCTGCACGTTAATAAAATAATTTCCTTTATCATGGAATTAGTTGTAGAAAGAAGAGCGAAAAGTACGTGTATATATGTAGAGAGAAAAAGGAGATGAATTGTCAATCACAGCCACAGCAAGTAGGATCTCATGATTATCAGCTTTTGCTGCTTAAGAAACCCAGTTATCTCCACTTCTTCCTTAAACCTCTGATATCTTTTCTAGCTTCCCCCCTTGAAATATCAACCCATCATCTAGTTGGATCCCACTTGTTCTTTCACCTGCATGTTTGAGACGATGGATGGAGAGAAGAGGAAAACCACCGGTCTCGGTGAGGTCTCGTTTTCTTCTTACCGTAGCACCGCCGAAGAGATCTTTGTGCATAAGATTGCAGAACCTCGATTGACAAGAAATAAGCGCCCGGAGGGAGAGATCAGTGTTTTCGGAGCTGAAAAATACTTCAATACAAGATTCGACGACGACGACGACGACGGTGACGGTGATGATAGGTTTTCAAATAAGCGAGATGATCCGCCGCATCAGACTGGTCCCCGGCGGTGGCCCGGGACACCGAGTGCAAGCTCCGAAGCAAGTTGGAGCAGCCAGAGTGTTTTGTTACGAAGTTTCATGAAGGATCGATCAATAAACAAGAAGAAGAGGGTTGATGGGAGGAGTTTTTTGGCTAATCTTAGCTGCACCGGGTCTTGTTCCAATGGGAAATCTGTTTATGTCAATCAAGATGTTGATCGCGGAAGGGTTCATGTTCAAGAAGTGAACAAGAAATCGATTCGACCGAGATTTAGTCCGAAAGACGAGATCAATCGGATGAAGGTGTGTTCGGTCCCGAGACTCGAAACACAGCTGGATGATCCACGGAAATCTCTGGAAGTGTTCGGATCCACAGCAATGAAGAAAGGGGACGTAACCAAGAATCTCGAGAGGAAACTGTCCATGTTAACTTGGGATGCCATCCCCAAAGCTCCCTCCGTTTCATCCATTTCGAGAACCAATCGGATGGATGATGACGCCGGGAGTGATTGTAGCTCGGATCTCTTCGAGATCAATAACATAGACGGCGACGGTCCGTATGCACCGAGCGAGACCAGCGTCGAATGGAGCGTCGTCACTGCCGGAGCAGCGGACTCCTCGTTTGTTTCCGATTACGACGAAAAGAAATCGAAAACAGTCAGTAGAGCGTCCAATGCCGCCAAAGAAGCACAGAGAAGCCGATCAGGTGGGATATTGGGCTGCAAGAGTCACAAAGCAGTCATGGTCGTCGAAACCGCATACACCAAGAGTCCGAACATCATAGATAGTTAAAATCCTTTCTGTATGAACATAAATTATCTTTTTTTTTTAATTATGTAATTTGTCATGAAGAATATTTTGCATGGATATTGCCTTTTGGAAGAACTGAATGTCTCTCTGGAAAGTTTTAACAACAATGGTCCATATATTCTAGTGTCAAAAAAATTGCACAACAGCATGGGAACATAAGAGGAGAATCTGAATTTTCCTAGGCTAATTGAACCCCAAAAAGAGGGTTTATTTGACCACACTTTGTCCGCATAAGGAGAGAAGACGAGTAGTCTTCCTTAAAAATTTTAAATTATTATTTTAATTAATGAAGTTGTTTTCGTTCCTGGAATTCCTTTAATTTATCCTCTAAAATTTTTTGAAGTACGATTCCGACATAAGATCATACATCCGTCCAAACAAATTACCTTTATTCATCGCTTAAAGCCTCTCGTTGTTGTTCTCTTGATATTCAACCATGGGGACATTAATGTTTTGGGATGCCTATCTTAAAAGAAAGCCTAAAAATTGACATTTTATTCCTCTATGTGCGAACTCAAAGATCCAAAAACAAGAGGACGCAAGCATCGGAGAAAGTGGGCATTTATTTTATGTTGTTAAAACCCTGTAAGTCCCACCTCCCCACTTCTGCCATGTCGTGTTGTTTGATGAAATTATAAATTTCCATTACATATGTTAACCATTTCCTACCACCCTATGCTTTCGGTATCACACAACTGCTTCTTTTCACCTAATGTCTCGTTCTTTTCAAACATTGCTTTGCTGTTCTATTTTCCAACTTTTCTGCATTTTACACATTTTCCTCCTATTAAATAGATCCGAGTGTTAGATAGTAAATTTAGTTGATACATCACACCGACTTATAAGTGGTCATATCAAAAGATTACATCGATCAAAAGATATGAAATTCTAAAGACTTCAGGAAATTCTAAAAGCTTTAAGATTCGATAGACATACGAATGATAACAAATGTAGGACTCCCAGAGGAAAAAGAGATACAACGATACTAATTCTCAAAATTTAAATTTCAGTCGATCGTTCTCCTCTTACTAAATGGTGAATCAAGTTTATGTATAAATAATTCGATTTAATATCATTTGTATCATTTAAGATCTCAAATTATTTCGTCCAATAATTTTAGTTATTTGAAAGATGCATAATCTAATTTTAATTATTGTTCAAATTAGGGTGCAGGTTGAATTTGCACACAATAGGATGAAAAGTCTCCATGAGGTCGAAAAATGTGGCATGTCATCATCAAGTCCCTCTTTCTACTTGGCCATTTTGTGGATTCAATGGAAAGCTGAAAAGTTTCAATGGTGTTATCAAATTTAATGATCAAAACTACCAAGAATGTTGCCCACAATGACACATTTCAAACGGATAAACATGCAATTATTCATGCACACATATATATAGGTGGTACCAATAGCGGATCCATAAATATTTTTTTAAAGTAAACACATATATTAATTACATAAAAATTTTAAATGGGGTGAGTACAGATAAAATTTAAGGTGAGCATCTTTAGTAAAATAAGTAACTAATCAAAAAAAACCTATATTTAAGGTGGACACAATATTTTAGAATATATACTATTAATAAAATAAGTAACTAATCGAAAAAAAATTCAAATTCTAGGATGAGCACGTGCACCATCACTAAACTATATCTCCTCCACTAAGTACCATAAACTCCATGGCCATGAGGTTGATGTCCAATTATATTTGTTTTCGGTTGAGCCATTCAGTCCAAAATAGATCATTTTGGTCCGATTCAAACTAAAACCGAAAAATATAAATATATAATTCTATACTTAATAAATGATATTAAAATATAAGCATGAATATAAATATATAATTCAAATATACACATATGTTAGATATATATTCCTATCAAATTACAGGTCATATATCAGAATTATTTGTGGAAAATTGTAAATAAATTTGAATAAATTAAACAAAATGGTGGCGATGGAATGTTGGGATGGGACCAGTGTGGTTCAATAATAGCATTGAAATCGAAATTGTTGGAAGCTGAATAGTTGTCATTGAACCACTTGGACCCATTGATGGTTTAGACTTCAGAAAAAAGCACACCCACTTGTTTAATTGTTTATAAAAACTGTAAAAATTAATTCAATTGGTTTAGTAATTTAATGATTTATACGCAACAAATCAACAAAAAATCTATCACGTAGCATGAACATAATATGATTGTCTTTTGAATTAAATCTATCTAATGAAAAATGTTTTTAATTAAATCTATCTAATGAAAAATGTTTTTAATTAAATCCTTCGTCAATAACAGACTAAGGGATTGTTTGTTAGGCTCTGAATGTTGAATCGTTCAGCATCCAAAGTGTTTGTTTCTCACCTCTGAATGATTCAGTGTTGACTGATTCAGTAAAACAGTGCTAAATGATTTAGTATCAAAGTACATTCTGAATGATTCAGAGCCATTATCAAACAGCATGTCACATTCAGAGCTAATTCATACAGAGCCTCTGAATCATTCAGCATTTGAATCATTCAACGCTTAATCATTCAGAAGTAAACAAACAACCCCTAAATGAGTAAAAATCTTGAGCTTAGGAATGATAATAGACCATGTAGATTTGAATAACTAAAATAATTATATGATAGTATATGTTTGAAAGATTTTGAATTTTCTAAAAACAGATGGGTCCGAGCAACACCAGAACAAATGAAGAATGACCTCAAAAAAACACTCTCATAGATATTATGTTCGAATATGAAACTTCTAAATATAACAACCATTCTTTTAAGCACTGAAATTATTTGATTTGTGAAAAAAATATTAATAAACATAAAGATTTTTATAATTTCACTAGCATGATATAACGAGATTAAATTTTTGGGTGAAGTACATAAATGATTCTTCGACTATAGAATGTTGCTTTGTTAAGCCTTTTGATTATTGAAAGTATAAAATGGTCATCCGACTATAGGATGTTGCTTTGTTGAACCCATCGGCTATTAAAAGTTAAAATAATCAGGTATTATTATGTTTCATACTCGTTCTTTTCTGTAAAAAAAATTGACGATCCTCTAAGTTAGATGTTAACATGCTGATCAGGATATGATAGTCCCTTGAGATTATGAGACCATATTTTATCATATCTCAATTAGTAGATTAACATCCGACGTAAAATGTCGTTAGTTTTTTAAAAGAAAAATGAAAAGTTTGAAACATGTGAATAATCAGATAATCATTTTATAATTTTTAATAGTCAGGGACTCTACAAAGTAAGGTCATAAGGTCATACAATTGAGAGATTATTTTAGAACTTTTAATAGTTGAATGACTCAATAAAATACTATTCTATAATCGATATACCATTTGTATACTTTATCTTTTTTAAAAGGGCCTTGGCCAAAAAAAATTAATAATCTAATTCTAATGTTCATCTTGACCGGGGGAATGCTCACGTGCGACAGTCTTAATATACAGCTAAAAAAAGATGCTACCGGTTTTGTTATTGTTTAAATAACAAAATCAGTAAAAAAATGACCGGAAATATTATTAGGCGCTTAAAAATGACCGATTTTATTATTATTAGGCGTTTTAACCGGATTTTCGAAAAAAATAACCGAAAATATTATTAAAAAATAATATTTTAGATAAAAATAATAATATTATCGATAAATTTTTAATAATTTTATTATTTAAATAATAATAAAAATAAGTAACACTTTATTTTAATCTTATATTAAGATGTCGAAACTTCCCCTTTAACCGCTTGGCTCATGCCCGAAGAAGTTAAGAAGATTCCGTTCTCTATCCAAACAAAAGTATGAAGAATCTTTCCTCGTATTTCCTATACTACCCCCAAAATTCATCAACCAAGTGACTATAATACAATTGAGTTCCAGCTGTCAGATTCTTATTGATCAATCGTATATCCCAAAATATTCTCCAATGGAGAAGATATAAACTCCCAAAACCCTAGCATTTTGTCCACTCGATGCCTCACTCTTCTCCCCCGTCGATATCAGAGGAGAGGGGGGAAATAGGGTTTTAGAGAAAACAGAGAGATAGACATTTTTTTAGTTTAGCGTTTTTGATTTTTCATTGTTTGGCTGTAAGAAAGAAAAATTGGTGACAGACAAAGGAAAGAAGATGAAGGTAGCAGAGAAAGGAGAAGAAGATAACTCCGAACAAATCGACGGAGACCTCTTTCTTGCCATTGAGAAGCTTCGATAGATCCAAGACGAGCTTGAGAAGGTCCATTTTCTAATTCGCATTTGACTTTCAGTTATATACCCAGTCATGTTATTCACTGTTTTTACTGTGCTTTTTAACGGTTTATTAGAAAATTTGAGGAATCCTACTGGAAAATTATGGAGTTCCTCGTGTTCATCTGGGCTGATTCTAAGTATCCAAGTATTGAATTTTCTGTAATTACAGTTGTCCAGTCAATGAAATTAATGTTTGTAATATTTTTTCTTTGATTGTTATATACTGTACCTGATCAACTTTTTATGTGGTTTATATGTTTGATCTATCTGAATTATTTTGGACGAGCTTAATTGTTTCCTTCTTCGTGTTTAAGTGTCTACTTCCTTTCTTAAACACGTCTTTTGAGAGGTCACTTTTGGGTATTACGTCTTATTGCCGAGAAGGTGGTAATGTGGATTATTAATTTCTGTATCTGATCGGCTTCCCATGTCGTTTTTCTGATCGGCTTCCCATGTCGTTTTTGTCTTCTGCATTTTTGTAGTAAGCTTGATTATTCTCTTCCATGTGTTGAGTGTCCCAGGCTACGTTAGACCTTTTTTCTCTTTTTTTTTGGGGGGTGGGGGGGGGGGTTTAAGTATTTATGTCTTATTGCAGGTAAGCTGTTAAACTGGATTGTTGATTTCTATATCTGATCAGCTTCCTATGTCATTTTTATGTTTTGCATGACTGAGAAAGCTTGAGAGTTGAGACCCCTATCTGTTCTCTTCCACTTGACTTAAGAGTCATTAAACACGTTGTTTTGTGGGGTTACTTTA